ATGACAGGTGAGAAAGTAAGATTATTTCTTAAGATTTTTAGAAAATTTAAAAATATTTAAGAAAATTCTTTTTAAAAGTTTTTAGGAATATTTAATCTTATTAAGACAGATCATTTGTGCGTGAGTGATTACTTCTTATTTTTCTCACTTTTAAAAATCCTTCTTCCACTCCTAACCTCTCAATTTATAGCCAAAAACTTAAAGTGAAAGTTAGAGAGGTATTCTCTCTATAGATAGATATCACTTATAATCTGTTGCTATCAAGTCAGGTGGGACTCATAGTTGATTGTCAAGTGGGTTTTCAGAGACTGTAACTTGCACAGGAGGAGACTATCTACCTATCTTTCATAGAGCAGCTTGTGGATCCACCCACCTTTGGATTGGCAGCATTCATTACTGACTAAGCCACCACAGATCTATCTACATAAGTCTTTATCTATAGATATAATTTTCGCTCCGTCTCTCTTTCTCAGTCGTGTGTGTGTGTGTGTGTGTGTGTGTGAATAGATATAGAAGTGGTTTCAAGCCTTTTCTTCATAGGGCTTCTACAAGTCATGCTAGACTTAAAGGCAATCACCACCACCAAATATATGTATATATGCATACATATACTTGCCTCTGGGAACTCTGTGAATGTGGAGAAACTATAAAAGTTATATAAATGTTCAGTGTGGAAATCATCGAACAATATCATTGATATCATATGCAAGTAAGATTCTGTTGAAGATCATCCAAAAACGACTGGAAAAGTACATCAACAGAGAACTGTCTGAAGTGCAGGCTGGAATTAGAAGAGGCCATGGCACTAGGGATATTATAGCTAATATCAGATGGATCTTGGCTGAAAGTAGAGAGTACCAGAGGAATGTCTATTTGTGTTTCATTGATTATGCAAAGGCATTTGACTGTGTGGATCACAATAAACTATGGCTAACTTTGAGAAGAATGGGAATCCCAGAACACTTTATTATGCTTATTTGAAACTTATACTTGGACAGGAGGCAGTTGTCATAACAGTGCGAGGAAGCACTGCATGGTTCAAAATTGGGAAGCGTGTATGCCAGGGATGTGTCCTATCTCCATATATTTTCAACCTATTTGCAGAACAGATTATTCAGGAGGCTGGGTTCTATGAGGAGAAGAGTGGCATCAGGATTGTAGGTAGACTCATCAACAATCTGCATTATGCAGATGACACAACCCTGCTTCCTGAAACTGAGGAGGCCCTGAAGTGCTTGCTGCAGAAGGTCAAGGATTGTAGCCTTCAATATGGATTGAAGTTCAACATCAAGGAAACAAAGATTCTCACCACTGGGCCAATTGGCAGCATCATGATGGCTGATGAAGAGATTGAGTATGTTGACAGCTTCAGTTTCCTTGGCTCTACAGTCAACACTGTTGGTACTGGCAGCCAGGAAATTAAAAAATGAATTGCATTGGGAAGTCTGCTGTCAGAGACTTCTATAAGGTACTTAGGAGCAACGATGTCAGTCTGGAGACTAAAGTGCACCTAATACAGGCCATAATCTTTACCATTACTTGCTATGCATCAGAGAGCTGGACAATGATTAGGGATGCTAGAAGGAGAGTTAATGCCTTTGAGCTTTAGTACTGGAGAAGAGTATTAAATATACATACCATGGACTGCTAGGAGAACAAACAAGTTTGTCTTGGAGAGGGTGAAGCCAGGCTGTCCCTTGGAGGCAAGTATTCGGAAGCTTTGTTTGACATAATTTGGACATGTTGCAAGGAGGGATCAGTCCTTGGAGAGGGACATCATGCTTGGGAGGGTGGAGGGACAGTGCAGGAGAGGGACATCCTAGATGAGAGGGATTGATTCTGTCACTGAGGTAATGAGGATAGGTGTGTCAGAGACAAGAAGATTGGCAAGGAATGGAGCAGGGATTAGGGCTGTTATACGTAGGGTCACTATGATTTGCAAGAGACTCGACAGCACATAACAACAATATGAGTCATCAACGACTCAGTGACACTTAACACCACCACACACACAGACACACACACACAGAGACACACACGGAATGTCTATCTGTATTTCATTGACTATGCAAAGGCATTTGATTGTGTGGATCACAACAAGCTGTGGCTGACTATGAGAAGAATGGGAATCCCAGAATATTTGTGCTTAAGGGCAACTTATGCTTGAATCAGGAGGCAGTCGTTAGAACAGAGCAAGGAAACACTGCATGGTTCAAAATCTAGAAGGAATGTGTCCTATCTCCATACCTTTTCAATTTCTATGTAGAAAAAATCATCCAGGAGGCTGGACTGTATGAGGAGGAATGTGGCATCAGGATCGGAGAAAGATTCATCAACAACCTGTGTTATGCAGATGGCTCAACCCTGCTTGCTGAAACTGAGGAGGACCTGAAGCACTTGCTGCAGAACGTCAAGTACTGCAGCTCAATATGGATTGAAGCTCAATATCAAGAAAACGAAGATCCTCACCACTGGGCCAATTGGCAGCATTATGATAGATAGTGAAGAGATTGAGGTTAACAGTTTTAGTTTGCTTCGCTCCACAAGCAGCACTCTTGGTAACAGCAGCCAGGAAATCAAGAGACATATGGCATTGGGAAAGTCAGCTGTCAGGATCTCTGGATCCTATACTTATTGCTCTAAGTTTCATGACCTCAGCCTACTGTAGTATTTTTAATTACAGTATATGGTATATTGATTTTTGCAATAAAAGCTGACTAAATGAATATTTCTTTAACAATTCCTTCTTGAAAGAGGTCAGGCCTTAAATTTAATAAATAAAAGAACAATCTCCTTTTTTTAGTTGGTACAGTTTTGATTGGTACATTTTCTGTTTGTCTTTATTTCAAAAGTTGAAATATTTCTAGTGTAATTTTGGCGCTTTCTAAGAAGTTCAATTTCTAGCACCCAGCCATTATCCCAACTGCTATTACAGAACATGGCTGAACATAAAAGCAGAGAATAATGACCGTGCTGATTTCTCAAAACTGTAAGCCAGTCTGAGGCTTTAAGCTATGATTTTGAAACACTTTTTGTTGTTACAAGAAGACGGATTTTGATTTTGGCTTATTTTTGTTTGTTACAAGAAGATGGATTTTTAGCATGCATTTAGTTAAATGCTAGCCACTCTATTAATCTAAACGTGTTTTTTGTGTGTCATACTTTTGCTCAGAAACTTTATCAATCAGATTGTATTATATCAACTGGAACATTTGAAGCTGGTGGCCATGTGTTCCTACCTTGATTTGCCACGAATATCCTTGTCCAAAAAGAATGTACCACCAATCTGATTATTGGTCCTAATTTTTTCTTTTTCTCTTCTGATCCTGCCTAATTTTAAAAGGTCCAGCCCAACCTAAAATTCTTCTTGAGCTGTCATTTTATCGATATTTTTCTCATAAAACATTTCCTTCTGGGCAAATTAACAACTTTTAACACCAGCTAAAAAAATAATTATATTTCTATAATATTGTATATGATTTTTTCCCTAGTCTAGTATTCTGAGATGAAGTGGAGAGGATGCCACCTTCAAATACTCCTTTCTTTCCCATGAGAACATAATTGAGCTCAAGGTAGGCTATATTCTGAAAGTTTTCTAGTGGTGGAACACAAATTTACCCTCCTTTTAACCTTGCCTTTTGATAATCTTGTTTTCTAAAGACTAGTTAATTATTTGGTGCAATTGTGAAGTTTTTTGCAACACACAGAAGTATGTTTTCATTTACCATGTTATTAAGCCAATATAATAAAACAAAAGACACTCTGTTTGGCTCAAAAGGGTCAGCATAGCCTGACTACTTACTGTACATGAAATCTTTGCCAATGTGTGTGATTTCCACACTAGTTGCATTAGCATCCCTGGTAGTCTGGTAGTTTGTTAGAAATAAAGAATCTTAGACTTGTCTTGAACTCTAATAAACACCATCTGTCATTTAACCTCATTCGCAAATAATTTGTATGCACATGAAAATTAGTGAAGTATAGACTTCATATAATTTTTAATACCTGAGCTTCAAGCTCTATTTTATTATTATTTTTGTTGTTGTTGTTGTTGTGTGCCATTAAGTTGGAATCAACTATAGCTGACCTTCCATTATCAGAGGCAGTTAATTGACCAGGAGAAGATTGCCCATTCTTCTCTCATGATCTTATTATTTACTGACTAATTTACCTTGGTCAAGTTGTGTCTTTTTTTAAAATAAATTTGATATTGTGGAGATAATATAAGAATTGTACTATATGAAGAATAAAATGATATATAAATATATGTATATGCTTTTGAGTACTTAAACATTATTATTGCTTATTCAGATTGCCTTATATAAATCAATAAGCAAAAAAAAACTCTGAAATTACAGAATGAAAGAACTGTTCAATGCTCCACAAAGGTTACCTATCATATACATGCAGAGCTGCTCTACTTGAAAGTTTTATCATGAGAGTCGTCAAAGAAGATATTAAGAGTGGCCTGGAGTATGAGATTAACAACGCACTTTGCCATTGGACAGATGTAAATTTTTGCTACTTGTTGTTTGACATATTGTTATTAAAGATCTGAAAATATACACTATTTGATAAGAATAAGATACATGGTGTGAGATATTGAAGGTTGTGTTTTTAAAAAAGTTCTTTTAACATTTTGACCATCTGTGTTTAATAGCTGATTCAAAATTCCTTCCAATGAATTCTATTTGCTTGCAGAATTCTACTTATTTGTGATAATGAGAAAGAATGTCATATTTGTCTGAAATTTTCCATTCTAGGACTTTAGTCACTTCAGTGTAAGTTTACACACTAGCAATGGGGCTGTAGTACTTGCAGTGTTTTTAATTTCATTGTATTCTAGCTGTGCAGTGTTGAAGATAACGGAATATTAGAAGTTCAAGCATACACATCCTCTACTCCTTCATAAAAATAATGATTGTTCAAGTGAATTTTAGCATTATTTTCCCCTTTGCAGTGGATATTTTTATGTTCTATTTTCCATTTACAACCTGAAAGCTGGTGACATGGATAAGTTTAACCAGACATTTCTGAAAGATTTCATTCTTCTGGGTCTCTCTGGGTACCCCAAGCTTGAGATCATTTATTTCGTTCTAATCTTATTGATGTATCTAGTGATACTAATTGGCAATGGTGTTCTCATCATAGCAAGCATCTTTGATTCCCGTCTCCACACCCCCATGTACTTCTTCTTAGGCAACCTCTCTTTTCTAGATATCTGCTACACATCCTCTTCTGTTCCCTCAACCTTGGTAAGCTTAATCTCGAAGAAAAGAACAATTTCCTTCTCTGGATGTGCAGTACAGATGTTCATTGGGTTTGCAATGGGATCAACAGAGTGTTTGCTTCTTGGCATGATGGCTTTTGATCGCTATGTGGCCATCTGTAACCCTCTGAGATACTCCATCATCATGCACAAATTGGTGTATGTGCTGTTGGCTTCTGTGTCTTGGCTGTCTGGTGGAATCAACTCGATTGTGCAAACAACCCTTGCCATGCAATTGCCTTTCTGTGGGAAAAACATTATCAATCATTTCACCTGTGAAATACTAGCTGTTCTCAAGCTTGCCTGTGCTGATATATCCCTTAACATTATCACCATGGTGGTATCAAATATGGCCTTCTTGGTTCTTCCACTGGTCATTATTTTTTTCTCCTACTTGTTTATTCTTTACACCATCTTGAGAATGAGCTCGGCCACAGGACGGCGCAAGGCATTTTCCACCTGCTCAGCACATCTGACTGTGGTGATCATATTTTATGGTACCATTTTCTTTATGTATGCAAAACCCAAGTCCCAAGACTCGCTTGGTGAGGACAAGTTGCAAGCACTTGACAAACTCATTTCCCTCTTTTATGGGGTAGTAACCCCCATGCTGAATCCTATAATCTATAGCTTGAGGAATAAGGATGTAAAAGCTGCTGTGAAATATCTGCTGAACCGCAAGCCTACCTGATAACCCCGGGAGGTATCTATGTCTATGTAACAAACTCAAAGATGTACTCATAGTGAATTAGTGAGAATCTTCTTGGAAGAACAAGATTAGAATTAATTTCTTTATTCTTTCCCTTGAGAAGCACTTTTCTTTAGTATGCTATGTCACAAGCAATAAACTGAAACTTCTTGTCATCAGGTGGGTTCTGACTCATAACAATTCTCTGTCAATTTCCAAGGCTGTAAATTACAATGGTAGGACACTGCCCATATTTCCTTTGCAGAGTCACTGGTGAATTTGAACTGTCAGAGATTGTATGCGTTGATGGCTTTTGTGTCACGGCTTGGACTGATGAACAGCCTTTGGATTAGCAGTGCAATTTACTGAGAAACCCCTCAGTAGTTCCGGACATGCTCTTTAAGGACATATAAAAAGAGAGTGTGTTCGAGGAGAATCTCCCACCTGTTTATAGCAGATGTGTTTTGGTCTACTGTCTCACAATCCAGTGGGATAAAAGCACACATAAGTTTTGGAAACTAATTTTGCTATAGCAAATATTACTTAACAATGACAAGGGTAGAAATTTTGGGGTCATTTTTTTGGGCATGTGATTAATTGTTTTTGTTTATATTTTATGTGTTTTTATTTTATGTGTTTTTGTTTATATTTTATGTGTTTGGATAAAACATTTGTATATGTTGTGTTTCATTCATATACATTGTCTTTCGCACGTTCCTTCATTCAAATTATGTTTCATATGATCATTCTTATACATTGCATTTTCTAAAATCAAACACCCTTTATTTATGCCCACTATCACCCTGTCTTTTCAGGTCCCCACTGGATGTTTCCTAATTCCTCGCCCTCCATCCACCAAATTTTGTGCTCCTGTGGTTTTCCTCTCTTCTCAACATCAACTTCCCTTTCCCCTCTTCTTCCGCCTTTGGACTTTTATATAGATCTTATTAGTGATCCTTCTATTTTTATAATAATCATCTTAGGCAATATTTGTCCTTATGAGACTGAGTTACTTCACTCAGCATAATGCTCTCTATTGTATGTTGTTGTTGTTATGTGCCGTCAAGTCGTTTGCGACTCATAGCGACCCTATGCACAACAGCCCTACACCCTGCTCTATCCTGCGCCAACCTCACTGCCTCTGACACACCCATCCCGATTACCCCAGTCACCGAATCAATCCATCTCATGGAGGGTCTTCCCCTCCTGCGCTGTCCCTCCACCCTCCCAAGCATGTTGTCCCTCTCCAAGGACCCGTCCCTCCTGGCAACATGTCCAAAGTATGTCAGATGAAGCCCCAGAATCCTTGCCTCCAAGGAGTAGCTTGGTTTAATCCTCTCCAAGATGAATCTGTTTGTTTTCCTGGCAGTCCATGGTACATTCAGTACCCTTCTCCAGCACCACAGCTCAAAAGCATCCACTCTCCTTCTGTCCTCCCTAGTCGTTGTCCAACTCTCTGATGCATAACAAGCGATTGCAAATACCATGGCCTGTATCAGGTGCACCTTAGTCTCCAGAGAGACACTGTTGCTCCTGAATACTTTAGAGAGGTCCCTAACAGCAGACTTTCCCATCGCGATACGCTTTTTGATTTCCTGATTGCTGGTGCCAAGAGTGTTGACTGTGGAGCTGAGCAAACTGAAGCTGTGAACAATCTCAATCTCTTTGCCATCCATCCTGACGCTGCCAATTGGTCCAGTGGTGAGAATCTTTGTCTTCTTGACATTGAGCCTCAGTCCATACTGAAGGCTGCAGTCCTTGACCCTCTGCTGCAAGTGCATGAGGTCCTCCTCAGTTTCAGCAAGCAGGGTTGTGTCATCTGCATAACGCAGATTGTTAATAGATCTTCCACCAATCCTGATGCCACAATTCGTTGCTCTTAAGTGCCACATGTTGTTGTTGCTGTGTACCATCGAGTTATGACTGACCCATAGCTGACCCTCTGGTGGGTTTTCAGAGGCAGGTAATCACAGCAGAGAAGACTGCACATCCTTCTCCCATAGAGCAGCTGGTGGCTTTGAATCATCTACCTTCAGGATTGTAGAAAATTTTTGTCACTAGGCCACCAGAGCTCCCACAAGTGCCACATAGTATTGCTTAAATAATTTACTTAAAATTTGTGATGAATACATTTCAGCTGCCAATGTTGATGGGTGTCTCAGTAAATTGGAGAAATATCTTGAATACTACCAGTATGAGTGTCATGTATCCCACAATTTCAGATTGAAGCCAAAACTCTAAATTGTATACTAAACATACTATGTAACACTACTCAGTCTCCTATGCTATTCCCTATGCTACTTAAGTCTCCTATGCTACTACTAGGAAAGCTCTGGTGGCCTAGTGGCAAGAGGCTGCATTCCAATACTGAAGGGGTGTGGTTTGACGCCACCACTTGCTTCATGGGAGAAGGATGGGCAATCTCTTCCAAGGGGATTAACTGCCTCTGAAAACCAGGCAGATGATACACAATAAACCACATTCCCCTGACAATCTTCCTATTTATATCAATCACCACTGCCTTTCTCCCCTGGGTCTTCCACCTAAATAGATGTGGAAGAAGACCTGGCCAGAGGAAGAAAGAATGAGTGAAATGATAAAAGATATTTTCTCTTTTTTCCTTGTAGAAGAATGGAATAGTTGTTTTTCCCAGTTTTAGACAATTGAAGAAGTGACAAGAGAGTTGTTTGGGTTCTAGCGAAGGAAATGCTGTCATTGACTTAATGTGTATAACTTTGTTGAGTTCTAAACACTGCAGAATAGCAGAGAAGGAAGAGAAGTCAGTATGTAAACACTGAAAAAAGCAAATACAAAACTCACAGAAAGATCAAAGTTTCACTTTGGCCAGGAGGGACTAGTCCTTGGAGATGGACACCATGCTCAGAATGATGGAGGGACTGCACAGGAGGGGAAGTCCCCAGATGAGATGAATTGACACAGTAACTGGGGAAATGGAGGGTAGATGTGTCAGAATCACTGAGACTGGCTTAGGACAATGTAAGCCTCAGAGCTGTTGTACACAGGTTTGCTAGGAGTCCCAGCTGACTCGATGGCACATAACAACAACAACATGCCTAAGATGATCTTACAAGATCAGAAATAGTGATAAAATGCAATATCTGGCTTTTGAAATTCCTACTTATGGACTACATATATGTTTGCCCTTTAATGCTTTACATATTTGTCTTCACATTGAAAAGATTGAACCAATCCCGTCAAAATTCCAAGGTCACTGACATCAAGTTGATTCCTACATATATATAACCTATAGGATGGAGTAGAAGTACTCCATAGTGTTTCTGAGGCTGTAAGCTTTTAACAGGAGCAGACTCCCTCCTCTTTCTCCCACAAGAACCACCAACTCTTGGTCAGCATCCCAACTCTTAGCCCACTGTACCACCACGGCTCTTGACCAAAATCCTACTTGCAAAAATTCTTCATTACAATCACTCTGACTTACTGAACACAGTTTAACATTGAAAAGGCTTTAACCCTTTTTCTTAAGGAAGGCTAAGTAAGAACCATGATATTTTCAGTCACAATTGCTTCCTATGTATCTGAAATATGAACAACAAATAATAAGACAGAAAAGAATCAATGCCTTTGAATTGTGGTGGTTGGAGAAAAATATTGAATATATAATAGACTGACAAAAGATTAAACAAATCTGTCTTTGCAGGAGGAAGTGCAGCCAAGGTTCCCATTAGAGGCATGGATAGTGGAATTTTGTCTTACATAATTTGGACTTGTTTTCAGGACAGACCAGTCCTTCAAAAATTAGATAATGCTGAGAAGGGTGGAGGGTCAAAGAAGAGAGGATGACTCTCAAGGAAATGGATTGGCATAGAAACTACACCATTGGACCAGAACATGAGGATGGCACAGGATAGAAGAAGGTTTCAATCTCTAGTTCTGGGAGTTGCTTTAAGTTGTAGTCAACTCAATGGCATCTTACAAGAACACAAACAAGAACCATATACATCTGCTCTGACTCACCTAAAAAAATCTGCTTCAAGATTTAATGCTCAATTAGGAACAGATCTTGTTCTGAACCAAAGCACTATGCATTTCTAGTTATTCTCCAATCAGCTGAAACTCCTCAATAAGTCTGCTGGAGTTTGTATCTTTTCCTGTATATTGTTTGTGAGCGCAGGCTATCATTGGAACACATAGTCTAGAAAAAGCCTCCCCTTAACAAAGCTTTAATTTTTTATTTCATTTTCCTTTGCATTAGTTTTAGAGCCACAGTGTGACCTTGTTTCTCCTACCTGAGTTCTTTTCCTCTGCCAATCAACTATCATGGGGGTAGATCCTGGTTTCTGTTTACAAAGTCTGCTGCTTTGTCACTGACCCCTCTAAACTGGAATATTGTCACTGTTGAGAACCTCTAGCTTGAGCTTCTTCTCCTCCTCTGTGTGGGACCCATTGTTTTTGGTTCTGGTTAAACATTGTTATTGTTTGGTGCCATCTAGTCAAGTAGGACTCACAGTGACCCTATGAACAACAGATCTGAACCCTGACCTAACCTGCACCGTCCATATCATCCCCGACACACTTGAGCCCATTGCTGCAGATATTTTATCAATCCATCTCTCTGTGGGCCCTCTTCTCTTTCATTGACCCTTTACCTTTTCAAACATGATGTCCCTTTCCAAGGAGTAGCATCTCCTAACAACATGCCCAAAGTATGTGTAATGAGATTTCATCGTCCTTGCCTCTAAGGAACATCCTTATTGCACTTTATGTAAAACATATTTGTTTGTTCTTTTGGCAGTCCATGGGATATTATGTATTATTTTCTAACTTCACAACTCAAAGACATCAATTCTCCTTCTATTATCCTTTTTTCATTGTTTGGTTCTCAGATGAATAGCAGGTGACTGGAAAAATCATGGCTTGATAAATTCTGTAGGTTATGACTTTTGAACTTCTGACCCTATATACAAAAGCCCTAAATCCTGCCAACCTTTTTGTCTCTGAGACTTCTATACCCATCACCCCAG